GGCAGCAGAACCACTGAGCTAAATCCCTGGCCCTGAGACAGGGTCTTGCTATGTAGTTCAGGCTGGCCTCAAACTCATCAGGTAGCCCAGGCTGGTCTTAAACTCGCAGTGATCTTCCTGCCTCAGCCTCCCGAGTGCTGAGATTACAGGCCTGTGCCACCATGCCTGGTTCAATTAATACATTTTTTAAAGCCAGTGTTCATACAGAGTATGTTCTCTGATGACAGAATTACATTGGAAAACAGTAAGCTACACACACACACACACACACACACACACACACAGTTGAAAATTTAAAAAAGTGCTTCTAAATAATCCATGATTCAAGAAGAAATCACAAATGAAAATTTAAAATATTATAAACTACATGAAGATAAAAAGCATAGCATGTCAATGCTTCAAGGGAAGCACAGAAATGGTTCAAGGGAAGTTTGCAACTTTAAACGTTTATTTTTGGGGAAAAAAGATCTAAGACCAATGATATAAGGTCTCAAAATATCTTTTTTTTAAGCAATGAAAATCCAAAATAAAAAAGAAGAAAAAAGAAAGATAAAAATCTCAACACTGAGGAAGACCCAAGTTTAAGTCACACCTGAATAGCTTAGCAGGATTATTTCAAAAGAAGGGGTATGTGTGCTAGGGATGTAGCTCAGAGGTAGGGTGTATCCGGGTTCAATCCCCAGTAAACAAAAAACAAAACCAGAGAAAATAAAGCCTGAAGTTGGTTCTTTAAAAAGATCAACAAAGTTGATAAACATCTAGCTAGATTAATCAAGAAAAAACCTACACAATCAACAGTATAAAAAAATGGGGGGGGCTATCAGTGTACATCCTAAGACCTTAAACAAGAGCAAATGATACTATGCACATTATTCAGAAAAATTAGATGGATAGACAAATACCCTGAGAGTTACAAAGTATCAAAGTCCACTACAAGAAGAAAATCTGTACTGCCCTTATCTACCAAATAAATTAAATTGGTAGGAAATACTGAATGCTTTCTTAAAGTCAGGAATCAAGCCATGACGACCATGTTCTTGGTTTTATTTAACACTGGACTAGAGATCTTAGCAGTGAAACAAGACATGGAAAAACAGGCATAAAGAAAACTGCCTCAGTAACATATAATGGCTTATACTGAAAACTTTGTAGCTGTGAGAAGCTTGCCATGTGGGGAATATGAAACAGGAAGAGAATGATGTGAATGCCTTCATATCAAGGATGGGTAGAGATAACTACCAAAGGAAATGCAGAAAGATTAAATTAGATTTCAGATGCTCTTTATGAAGTGGGCAAGTCTGTTACATACATACACACACACAAACATATATATATTTTTTTTGTACCAGGGATTGAACTCAGGACCTTGCGCTTGTGAGGTAGGCATCGGAACCACTGAGCTAAATCCCTGGACCCTCTGTTACATATTTTTAGAAGATTTATCTAAAATAGCCCAGATTATAAAAATATTGGAGCCTCAGCAATTTGGAATATTTCCTTATATAGTATATCAAACCTATACAATAAGGGAGAAGTGAAGCACTGCCATACATAAAGTTAGCAATACAATCACTATCTACACAAGACAATCTCAGTAAAGATGAGTCAGAACTACTGGGCCAAGGTGGGTACACCTGTAACCATGGTGGCTATAATGAAATGACTCTATAAGTACACTCAGTTATGAATGGAATTCATGACATACTAGATGTGAAGAACCTCAAGCCTAAAATAACATTTAATTTTGGATAAAATCTCAATAAGGTAAGGAAGGCTGTATAATATATAGTATATATACTTCTGATTTTGTCATTCAAATTCTTTTTCTATTTAAGATCATCTTTGGTGGTTGGAAGGTCTGGTATCCCAAGACCAGAGTCAGGATACCCCATTTTGATAGAAGCATTTCTTTAATATATGCATATTTTTAGTAAATAAAATAGTATTTTTCAAATACTGGGAATCAACCTAGGGCCTCTCAATGCCAGGCAAGAGCTCTACTACTGAGCTACATCCCCAAGCCCTCTTTTTATTTTATTTTAATTTTGGTACCGGGGATTGAACTTGGGACCTTGCACTTGCAAGGCAGGCACCGGAACCACTGAGCGACATCCCCGGCCCCTTTTTATTTTATTTTGGGTCTAAATTGCTCCTGCTGGCTTTGAATGTGTGATCCTCCTGCCTCAGGCTTCCAAACAGCTGGGATTACAGGCATGTGTGTTTAATGTTGTCTCTGCAGTAATAAAACCATACTGTATTGCGTTTGGGTTTTTAGGCTACAGTCGATTATGTATCCTAACATTCTATCTCTAATTTAAAGTGATTTAACACATTTCCTACAATTCTATGAAAATTAAGGTTCCCTTTTTTATCTTTAAGTCAGTTTTGTCTTTCATATAAGTCATAATGGTTTTTGTAAGACTTAACTAAAACACAAAATAAAACTTCGTTGAGTTTGTTAACATAAACAAGTACGCCTCTAACTGGCAGGGCCCTGCAGGACAGCACTATAGTGATCACCAGTTGTCTTTTACCCAGTTCCTGAAGGCAAAATTGGCGATGAGTCGGCAAACTGTAGCACCCAGCCACACGTGGTCCTCAGTAAACCAGAGTGAGGGCTATGGCCAAAATAGAGAGTTTCCCCTACAAAAGCTCCAGCTCCCTGAACAGAGACTAAAATTAAGAATAATCTTTACTGTATGTTAAAAATAAAATACACATACAGGGGCCAGGGATTTAGCTCAGTGGTTATGCCGCCTGTCTCACAAGCATAAGGCCCCGAGTTTGATCCCTGGTACCAAAAAAAAAAAAACATACACATACAGAAAATCCATCCTACACACAAGTAGAGTCCCTAAGAAATTTCTATTTTTAACTTTTCCAGGTGATTTTTATCATTAGGCAAAGTGAACGAGCAGGCGCTATGTCTTAACCTACAGAATGGACTTTTTTCAAATAATAGGCTGTGACCATTACAGTTCTCTCTTAAAACAGAATGGATCACTATCAAAATATTTTAAAAAGTAGTAGATTTGTGTAGAAAATATTAGAGTGAATCACACAACATAAGGGTAAGGACTGTTTTATGAAACTTGTGCAAATTACAGAAAGGTGTATAGTCTCGCCATATTTACAACCATATATATGACTATATATTTACAAATGCTAATGAATTATGTATGTATAGCGACATCTGAAGGGCTGGGGATGTAGCCCAGTGGCAGAGTGCTTGCCTGGTCTATGTGAGGCTCTGGTTCAATCCCCAGCACTGAGCATGCATGTGCACGTGTGTGTACACACACTCAAAACAACAACAAAAATGTTTGACAGTTACTGCTAGAAGATTAGAGAAAAAAATGTGTTAATTATAGAAAAGAAGACAATCTGTTCCTTGCGTGCAATCAAGAATTTAAAAATGCTTTAAGTTTGTCATATTGGCCCAATTTGATAGTATAATTATGATCATCAATGAATCTGACAACTCTTACTAAAACAATTATTTTATTAGGGCAGCTTTCAAAATTATTTAAATACAATGAAATGAGAGCACTGAGAAAAAGAAAAGGATACAGAAAAAAGCATATGAGTGTACTGCTACGCAGTGGGGAAACAGACTCTGTCTCCTCTCCAGAAATCAAACAAACTCACATGGGTTTGGGGTCCTGACATTTTGCAGCCTGCTGAATTCCCATCCACATAAGCCATGGCCAATAATCTGGTCTCAGATTTCCCCTCCCCATTAGGAATTGTGAACAGACACTCTCCCAACTTTCTTCTCTCTGGCGGCTTTGCCTTGTCTTCCTTACCCTCTACAAGTGATTCTCCTTAAGGTTTATCAGCAGGCCTTTATCACCCTCTCTTCTTTTTCACTCTCTGTAGAAATCTAAATCCAAACTAATATTATCTTGCTTTGTACTATCATTTTGCAGATGCAGTAAGGCAAGAGATAGCATATTAACATGTCTGAGTTGACTCAGACTGGTTAAACAGCTGAGATGGGAGATGGGACTCATACACAGGTAGTTTAGCTCTAGAGTCTCTGCTACATGGCTTAGTTCTGAGTAAGCACCAAATAAACATTTAGCAGATGAAGGAATGAATGAATGGTTACTGAATGATGGTGGCAAGGTGCAGTAGGCACAACTCTTCTGAATCAGTGAGATCTGACTGTACCAGCTGTATGACACTGGGCAAGATATTATTTCTTAGGTGTATAAAATGGGCAAGATGAGTTGCTGTAGTAAGTCAATATGTGCCTGTGCGTGTGTCTGCTAAGTAGTAACTGCTAAGTAAGGAAATCTACTGCTGCTAGAAGAATGCATAATTTGCTTTTCTTTAAAGAGTTACCTATTGTTAACTGGATATGGCTCTGAATCTTATAGCATTATTTTTATTAAACTTCCTGAGTATTAGAAAAGGGGTATATTTAGGTTAATACAAAAAAATAGGACTGTGTCTTGATTTTACACCATACAGTTACACTTTAAAGTAGGGTTCCTTGGCCTGGGTATCACTGATACTCTGGGCTGGGTAACTTTGTTGTGAGGGTGGCCGTCCTTCCCAGCACACAGTGCTCAGCAGCATCCTGGCTTCCCAACACTCTGTATATGCCACTAGCACTCCGTCCCTTGTCACAACAGCCCCTGTGTCTCCAGATATTCTCAAATGTCTCCTGGGAACAAAAGCACCCTGGAGGAGAACCACTGCTTTACTGGATAACACTGGACTATACTGCCTTAAAATACAGTTAAATACTTGTAAAACTCTTCTATGTATAAAATTATCACAAATAGAACACAATCTGTAGATACCAAGAGGATCTATTTTTAAATTCTAGAAAATACAAACATATATATTCTCTTTCTTTAGGATATTATCAACATGCTACTTCTGATATATATAGAAGATTCTAAATTATTTTTAAAATATAATATCTACTCAGCCAAACAATTCTAAAACCACTCTGACATACACAAAAAGATTAAATTAAATTATTTTACCTTTAGGGCTGAAATAATAGTTTGCTCAGCGGCTGGTGGGAATGAGCTCTGACTGGAAACCACCTAGAATAAGGTTTTGATCCAGTTACATTTTTGCTTACGTCATTTATTGTTGTAAATACTAATTTTCATCAGAACATGACAAAGCCATTTTCATAAACTACATTAAAATATTATCATTACTTTATATGGCATTTCATACATGATTTAAAAACTCAGTTGAAAAACACTTTCATGTACAAAGCAAATACACATTTCAAGTACAGACATTCCTCGTTTAACAACTTACCTGTTTAACAACTGTTCAGATTTACAATCTGTCCTTTTTGTGTACAGTTCTGCCCATCTTGTTTACAGAGCCTCAATATCTGTTTTTGTGCACTACACCGTGTTTACAGAGTACTGCAATTTTTGCTGGTTGTACTATACAGTACAGCACTATAGTTCTATCTTCTGTTACAGTACTACATGTAAGTTATGCAAATAAGAGCAAAGTCATCAAGTTGGAGTTTCTTTTGACTATTTCTTTATTCTCAATATTGTAATGTTCACACTATATACAACTCCTCATTTAGTGACCAATCCAATTAACATCCTTGTCACAGGACCATAACTTGGTCATTAAACAAGAAGCATCTGTAATTGGAACCTTAAGAATTTTAAGGGCTACCTTTCCTTTATTCAGTTCAAATAGGTTTTAACTATAAACTTTTAGCTTGAAAAGGTCAGAAGAAAGCCATATTTACTTATTTCTTTTAAAATATTCACTTTTCTTTAGGCTGACTCTTACTTCAACAAGTCTTTAAAATACAAATGTCAGATATTTGCATTTTTTAGAAATCAATAAAAGTATCAATAAAGACATTTAACTCAGGCTAAATAGAACAATCTTTCATTTCCTGTGGTGCTTTATAGTAGTGACAAAAATAAATGGGATATGCATCATTAAATTTTTTTTGATAATTTTACTTTTCTGAGATATACTCATTAATAACCCTTTAAAATATATTTTGCTTATTGTGTGAAATAATGTTTTTAGAAACTCCTAACTATAAAAATGTTTAATACTTACATAACTGTTGGAAACCAAGTGTAAAGACCAAGGCCTGGGATGAACTCAATCCTTGAGACATGGTGGAGGAGAAGGGAATAGCAAGCTGCCCCTCACCTGCCACGGGCTGTGTGCTAGCATGCCTGCACCAGCCAGTATCAAGGAGAAAATCAACTATAGCTAAAGTCTGATTAAAGAAAATACACATTCCAGTGCAGTCTGTAAATTATGAGAACCTGATGAACTTTCCTTAAACCCTGGATCATATGCTTGCTTGCTTCTTCTTTGTGCGAGTTTAATGAAAGTGAGGAGCACTGCCAGATCTGGTCTTTTTGTCCACTAGAGGCTAAAGTCCCCTGGTCCTCCCCTCTTCCAGATTATCTTTGTGTCTTTTGTTTTTAATCCTTGTTCACCCCACCCTGGTCAGGATAAACTCACAGGATGGCTCCTATACATAACTATTCTAAAATACAATCATGTTAAAGCTCATCTTAGAGGTGAATTGTAAGAACATTAATCTTCATCTTCCTTCTAGTCTTCTAAATATTTATCTTTCTACTTACTCAATATTTTGAAAATGATCTACAGAGGATTAAACATGAGCTACTTGAAAGTTGCAAATGAAGTTGAAAGTGTTGTTTTCCTAGTAGTGAAGAATATAGTTCACCTTAATCCTAATAAGAGTTGGCCCCCAGTGAATACACACCGTATTCACATTGCATTAGGTATTACAATGCAGAGATTAAGTCATGCAGGAGGATGTACACTCGTTAGAGGTTACATGCAAATATTTTGCCATGTTAGATAAAGGATTGGGCGTCCACAGATTCTGGTACCCACAGAAAGTGGGGGGCACCCACAGATACCAAGGGGTGGCGGCATATGGAGACAAACAGGGTTAGGCATTTCTGTCAGATGCTTTAGTACAGAAATAACAGCAACAACAAAAGTCTACTGTTGGTTTGCAAGTACTCATTAATGATGATACTATAAAAATTTATTGTTTTTAATAAGGCATCTCCTTGCCTTTTTGAGCTATGGAAGCACTTTTTGACATGTTGCAGGGCCTGATAGCTCTGATTCTGTCATTAGCTTTGCTATAACTTATTAATACCCACACAAGGTCAAATTATAGTTTTCAGTAAATATGAAACATATCTACTCATCCTTAATAATTTGTGCCATCAATTTGATTAACTTGAGAGTCTACAGTTCATGTGTTTTAAACCAAATGTAAAAACAAAAAGCACAGAAATAATAAAGGCCAGTATCAAAGACTGTTTAAAAAGAGTTAACTCTTTAGCTTATTTTATAATCATGACATTTTCATAATATTCTTTTCCAAAAAATTAGTAATTTGTGAATTGTATAAATTTGAGGCAAGAAGATGAAATTAAATCAAAAGAAACTAATTAAAACAAAAAGTTACCTTTGTTATTGATTGGTGCAGCTTATACAATGAATTCATTACTGCCACGTTTCTTTTTTGCCCTTCAGTAAGAGGCCCAATCACCTGACTCGCATCTCCTTGTGTGGACAGCTGTAAGAATTCAACACAAAAAGATATTACCGAAATGATACTACGTGTTTTTTCTTCAACTGAGGAGACATTTTATACCCACTTGACAAAGAGAATGTTCACTGGAAATACCAAGGTCAAGTTAAAATTTTGACAAGAAATCTCTGCAGAGATAACACCATCAATGTGGAAGCCAATCAATCCTGCACAGGAAGAACAACTCTTTCAATACTTCAAGACTGCTGGGCCCATGAGACAGGTGTGACCCAAATGCCCAGTGTGTGCTGTTATTCTGATACACTAGCATAGCAACCCTAAGGAATACCTTCTGGAAACTGCCAATAGACTTCTTTCTATTCAAAAACTCAGATATAAGGCACCAAATAAAGGAACAGAGGAGGGAGAAAATAAATCTAAGTTTTCTGTACATTTAACAGCCATCCCAACACTCCAATGAAATGGATGGTGGAAAGAGGATATTATTCTTTTCGTGAGTTTTGTTTTTTAAAAAAGGAAATTGCCCAAGATTATTCTGTGTATGGATAATCAGTAGAAGTGATTAGAATTTTATATTCTTAGCCTTTATTTCTAAATGCATGAATTTTAGGGGAAAAGTTATGGATTGCTTTAGTGAGTTAATTTGTATCTGTTACAGATTGGACTTAAGAAAATTCTACATATTAACGGCTGTCATACTGATCTGATTTTAATCTAGTCTGCTATAGCAATTATTACTTAAAGGTAAATTAAACTTGACAAGGACATACAGAACATGATATAATTTACTCCATGAATGTGAACAGAGACTACAAACATGAAAAACTGGGCTGGGGATTTAGCTCAGCGGTTTCGCCGCCTGCTGTGCAAGGACAAGGACCCGAGTTCGATCCCCAGTACCAAAAAAAAAAAACCCCATGAAAAACTGACATTTTAGGAGAATTAAAACTAAGAAGGCCTACCCATTGTTACAGTAAGCCAAAGAAACTGAGAAAAGACATTTTTACTTTCTTTTGATAAATATATAATTTTTAAAAATTAAGTTCAATCTGTACTTTTTTCATTTCCCACTAGTATGAAATAGAATGGTAAAAAGCATTAAAAATTGCAGTTAAGAAGAAAAACAGAAAAGTCTTTCCTTAAAGTTGCCACTCATGATGGTGGTTAAGTCCACATAAGATATTTTCAAGCCAGGTTAAATAACTCCAATTTATTTTTACTTTTTTCATGGACATAGTTACCAATTTGAAGCAAATTGTGTACTAAAATACTTACTGGTCAGATTTGGAGAAAATTGTATTTTCCTGTGGTGAAATGTTGTTAAAAGGTAGATATTCAAAGGAGCCCATCCATCCAGTTTAATCTATAATGTGGTAAACTGATATTAATGGAAGCTCTGAGCTCCAAGAGAAAGCTGATGACAGCTCTGTGCACCATGTGTGGGGCACTCTGGAGGTTAAACTGCCATGGTCCGTGGCATCAGTGTTATGATGGGGGAGGGGAGAGGCCAACTGTTTACCTGACTACAATGAGCATTTAAAAGTTAGGAGCTCACCGGCACATCCCTGTAGCCCTAGCTACTGACTGAGAGGCTGAGGCAGGAGGATTATATGAACCCAGGAGCTTGAGGTCAGCTGGGGTACCACAAAGCGGGGAGGGCAGAAAAGTTATGAGCTTGAGCTGTACAATTTAAAAAATCCAATCTTAGGTGTCTCCAAATAATTCTGAAGAACTAACGAAGAAATGGGAAAGAGAATTTTTTCTTACTTTATTTCAATTTATAATATCTGTGAATTAATTTTATCCTAATTCATATGCTCCATATTCATATTTAATGAAGAAACAAGGTTACTATGAGAAAAAGATGGAGATCATTTTGTGAGGATTCATATTTGGGGGATTTACAAGTATAGAAAAGCCCACCTCTCCATCCCAGTGATGGTATAATCAGGACGATAGGTGGTAACAAATGTTGGCCAGGATGTGAGGGAAAGGAACCCATATACACTGCGGGTGGCAATGTAAAAGGGAATTGCTACTTTGGAAATACTCAAGTAGCTTCTCAGAGGTAGCAAGAGGGTAACTATATGACTCAGCAATTCAATTCCTAGTTGTTAACTAGCAATAAAAAAATGAAGTTAACAGATATTACAACATGAATTAATCTTGAAAATATTATCCTAAGTGAAAGCCAGTCACAAAAGGCCATACATTAAATGATTACATTTATCCAAAATATGCAGAAAAGATAAATGTAAATCCATAGACACAAAGTAGATTTATATATATATAGATAGGTATATTCCATGTTTTTATCAACCTCACTGATAAAAATGTTGCATAAGACAAAGCTAAAGACATACTTTTTTCCATGATGAAAAAAATCAGTCATTAATCAAGACTATTACAAATTAAGTAAATCACTTGGCAAATTTACTTAGATACATTAGTGTCCAGTCTGTGCAAATTATGAAATACTCTCAATTATTTTACTGAAACCTAGTTATAACTGCTTTACCACATTCCCTTGATAAATAAGTCTAGGAACTTTGTCAAAAGGAAACAAAGTTAATATATCATGTTCTATTATTGAAAAATGTTCAAGTCCCAGTGCTTTGTAAATGACAATGACATAAACAGGTATCAGGAACTCACAGGATTTTGAAATATAACCTAGCTTTGGCTTGAGGCAGGGCTACATCAGAGCCAGCAGAGAAAAACATTTTTGAAGTGTTCCAGAGGAAAAGTTTTACTGACAGCCTTGTCATTATGTTTTTCTTCTTGAAAAGTTAAGGCATTTTTTTTCTCACTGGTATTTTTATAAACATTAAAATATTTTTTCTAAGATTTTTATTATGAACACATTCAAATATACAGAAAGTTAAAAGAAGTGTACAACAAACTCCACTATACTGATAACCTAGATTCCACAATTAATGTTTTAAAATATTTGCTTGATATATCTATTCCTCTGTCCATTTTATATTTTTGATGCATCTCAAGATAGTCTGCTGACATCAGTACATTTGTTCCCTCTGGCTTCACTCAAATGATTAGTTTTACTAATTCTATAACTTTAGATAAAGTTTTTAAAAAATATGCCTATAATGCAGGTTGGCAGTGGTGGCACAAACTTGTAATCCCAGCACTCGGGAGACTGAGGCAGGAACTATTGTGAGTTCATGGCCAGCCTAGGCCACATAGTGAGAACCTGTCTCTAAAACACCATAAATAAATAAGTAAATGAGCCAGAGAGCAAGCAAGCGAGCAATCAAGGAAGGCAGCCTATAAAGCCTTTTTCACTCAACAAAATGTTCCTGGCAGAGATTTGCTCCTTTTCACCGCTGTTGGCATTCCATTGAATAGATCTGTTTGTTCTGCCCAGTCTCCTTTGTTAATAGCTATCTGCAGTAGATGAACACTACACGTATTTTAGGAGTGTAAAGAGACTTGCCTCTGCCACTTGCTAGCCAAGTGACTTGTGGCTTCAGTGATAATGTGGAACTAATAATAAAGCTTACAGCAAAGGCAGCTGGGTAAACTGTCTCTCCAGACAATTCTGGCTCATTCTTATTTCTACTTACTCTTCTCTTGTGTCCTTCTCCCCACCTGTATCTGATTTCAGTACTGGGAGGGAGAAAAGACACAGATTAAGATTTGGGAATAGGACTTCAGCATAGGTGAAGGTGTCTGAAGTTCAGACTGGGCTGTCTCACTTGGGGCTATGTAACAAAGCATCTGGCACACAGTAGGTGCTCTATTTCACAACCCTACACTCATCTTGAGTCACTGTAACTTTGTTGCCACACTTCCTGAATTTGTGCTCCCTAAAATTTACTTTTTACTAGTTCACATATAAATTCTGCAAGGTACATAAAGTAGAAGATGCTCATTATACATCTACTGGCTGACTCAAGGGCCAGAGAAATGGTTATTCTTTCAATGTTCAATTTATGTGAGATGAACAGAATTGTACTGAGGTACAAAACTATAACTATGGCTGTGAAGCACTGGAACTAGAGGACTGGAAAGTGGAAACAATGAGATTCAACATTCTGAGCTGGGTGTGGTAGCATATTCCTGTAATCTCAGGGACTACAAAGGAGTGGGAAGGAGGGGGAAGAAAGGAGGGAGGAAAGGAGGGAGAGAGAGAGGGGGGAATGAATGTTCTAAAACATACACATACAGGGGTATCATGCTACACCATTCAATATACTCTGGAAAGATGTTAAAAACCAAGAGTTACATTTGAGTTATAGCTCATGTGAATGCACACTCTCATAGACACAAACTCACACATGAGAGAGAATCCAAAAAGTAAACAAATTCTTTTTTTCTCTCTCTCTTTTTTTTTTTGGTTCCGGGGATCGAACTTGGGTCCTTGCGCTTGCGCAGCAGGAGGCGAAACCACTGAGCTAAATCCCCAGCCCAAAAAAGTAAACAAATTCTTAAAATCATTAAAACAATTCCCCTGTACAAATGACATGATTCATTTGTAAATTATCTGAACAAAATATTTTTCAGAAATTTAAATTCTGTACATCTGCTGTTAGAAACTGATGAGCTTGAATTACTGAAACAACAGGCTATATAGTCAGCCAGAATTTAGATAGAAGATAGGTCTATATAATGGTTAATTTGCAGATGAAATGACCAAAATCTGCCTAATCATCACCTCTGAAGATTAAAAGTAAAAGAAACCTGGCAAAGCAAGGAATGAGTTTGATGACAGCTTTGAATTTCTATACAGAAAATTTCCTGAAAATTACTTGTGGGAAGTTATAAATCTGACTCAGAAAAATGTCTAAAAAGATTAATATATTGTAAATTAGTTATGAATTAGAAGGGCCAGGGATTTAGCTCAGTGGTTTCGCCGCCTGCTGCACAAGCGCGAGGACCCGAGTTCGATCCCTGGTACCAAAAAAATAAAATAAAATAAAGTTATGAATTAGAAAAGTGTAAGTTACTTTACAGATATTGTGGAAATACTGCTAAGGGTCTATGTATCTATTATTTCCATTATT